CATCGTAATCAATTCCAACCACCTGCTTGTTACCAAGAACCATAAAGCGAGCTTTAAATCGCTCAATTGTAAGATCGGAATTATATTTTATTTTATATACCTACTTGTATCCGATAGTCTTCTTTCTCAGGGGAAGAAACTCTTATGTCCATGTATCATTCTTTTTCAATGCGTCAATTTCTTCTTTCATAGCACGTCGCTAAAGAGGGTCGCGCACAACATCATAAAACCTTGTGGGTTCAATACCTGTAGTAACATCTTCTAGAAAGCTCTTGTGTCTAGAAGAAAAATTATTGCAAGTCACATTGTTAGCTATGGGATACGGCGTATTTGATGACTGTGAATGAGTGGGTGATGAACTTTACGTTGGGGTATCTATGCACATAGTAGTATGGCACTGAGTTGTGTAACATACATAATCTTTTAATCTGGTGGACACTTTATGTTCCCGATGTCCCCGACCAAGAGCTTCACCCACAGTAGTAATAGTAGTAGGAGGAGTTTGTGTATCCACAATGGTAGAACTTATGTTTATATTTTCCTCCTGAATGGGACTAGGAGAAGTAACATCTACCCTCATTTCTTCGTTTACGTTAGGCTCAATATCAAAACTTCCCCTTGAGTGAATAGAGGTGAGTGATCATGTTGCATAATATGATCATTAGTGGGTAAAGCACCAGAGGAATCCAGCGCAGTGGTAGAATCAGAGTCAAACACTGAACTAACATAAGGGAAGACTTTTTCATCAAAAATAACATCACGAGACACACAAAAAAATCTCTAGTCTCTAAATCATAGACACGCCATCCCTTCTTCCTCAAAGTATGTCCAACAAAAATACATCGACGACTCCTAGAGCTAAAATTATCTTTTTCACGTGGCCTAAGATGAGCAAACATAGACATCTAAATACTTTTAGAGGCTAATAGGACGGTTCTTTTCCAAAAATTAACTCATAAGGAGTCTTTCCAACCAATATGGGAGTAGGAGTACGATTAATAAGATAAACGGCAGTCAAAAAACATTCTCCCCAAAATGAGATTGGCAAATTAGCTTGGAAATGGAGTGCACGAGCAACATTCAAAATATGATGATGCTTCCTTTTCACTCGTCCATTTTGCTGATATGTATCAACACAAGTTATTTGATGGACTATTCCCTGCTCCGCATAGAAAGTATGAAAACAAGTGAACTCCTTACCATTGTCGCTTCTAAGTATTTTCACCCTTTTCTGAAACTGAGTCATAACCATGAAAAAAAACTTATTTTACTTAATGTTTAACCTCACTATTCTCGGCCATTAAGTAGACCCACACACCACAAAAAAAGTCATCCACAATAGTAAGAAAATATACAACGCCATAAGAAGAAGGAACATGATAACGGCCCCACACATCACAATGAATTAATTCAAATAAATCAATAATTTTATTCATACAATTAGGAAAAAATTCTCTTGTTTGTTTGCTCTTAAACAACACATTACATAACTCATCTGTTCCACTATGACTACTAATTCAAGGAAGAAGAGAAACTATCTTATTAGAGGGATGACCAAGCCGATGATGCCATAAATCAAAATTATCCATCTTATGGGTGCTATTTGCTTGTGCTTGTGCCACTGACTTCAAATAATATACCCCATCACACTGTTCACCTACACCAGTCACTGTTCTCAAAGTCCGATCCTGTATCACACAAAGCATGTCAGCAAATATGACTAAGCAATTATTTTCATTAGCGAGCTTAGACACAGAAATTAAATTGCATTTTAATTGAGGTACATAAAGAACATGATGCAATTTCAGATTATTTTTGAATATAACAGTCCCCGCCGTCGAAGCCATAGTCGTGGAACCGTTTGGAAGGCCTACTAGATATGGTGTCACATAACATAAATTTGTAAATAACTTGACATCACCACTCATATGGTGAGATGCCCCCGAGTCGACAATTAAACGAATTCCAAAAACATTACCTGACAATTTATCATGGTTCTTATTGCGGGAATTAAGCATGGATACCAGTACACTCCACTGTTCATTAGATAATCCCGTCCAAGGCCTCTGTTTTACTATTTGACTCAGTTGCTCGTGCACCATTAGCAACTTCTATAATCCCACGTCCAGTGCCACCACGTCCATAATTACCAAAGTTTCTGGATCATCCGCCACGACAACGTCCAGCAGTCCTTCCTCCTCCTCGTCCTGTACCCCACCATTCAGGATACCCGATCAACAAAAGATGATCTTTCTTTTCATGTCCAAGTTTCGCGCAATTATCACATGTTGGTTTATTCGAATTATTAGATGTTCTGCCATTGTAGTTGATGCAAGTATTAGACAATGACTGCACAGCAAAAGCATAGAGTCTGCACACTCCTCCTTAGCTCGAGCAACGTTCCGATGTCGCTTCTCTTGTAGAATCATGGCAGAAACTCGATTCAACGTAGGTAGGGGTTCGTGCTTAATATGTTGGAATGTGTAGTCCCAAACACATCATCATCAAGTCCCAGCTGTACTTTCTCTTTTTCGCATTCTTGTACCGGTTCCTTTGCTGCCCCACACCTACACCCAGCATATGTACCTATCAGACTCTTTGTGTAACCAATAAGTTCTTCCAGCAACGGTCTGTCCTCCTTGTTTACAAGATGCAAGTTCGTTTTTCAGCTGGTGTATTCTCATGTCATTACCAATTGAGAATCATTCTCTCAAGTCTTCCCATAGTTCTTTAACAGTTTTCATGTAAGAGATCGTAGAACGAAATGGCATATCTATGATGTTAAAGACTCAAGCAACCAACATCGAATTGACGACATACCAATCATCAAGTTCAAATCCTTCTTCCTTGGGCTTTGTAATCATTCCATCGATAAACCCCAATTTTTTTTGGCTAAAAGTGTTTCTCACGGCCTTAGCCCATTCGTCATAATTGTCGCTCTTCAAAATCATAGGAGTTATGCATATTTCAGTGTGGTCTGTTGAAAGCAAGAAATATGGCGATGTTGGATCATTCATGGGAGTTTTGCTGCTTCCTGATCCACTGCCTCCATCTCCATCCTTCTTCTTGTCGTCGCCGGCCATCTCACACAATTCCTTTTGAGTTATGGCTCTGGTACATGAAGAGTTTAAGAGAGAATGATATTATGTGTCTTGTATTGAATAAATAGGTGTTAATATATACAAAACCTATGTCTTGTTAAGTAAACATATACAACTTCCTAAAATAAACACAAAATAATATTACACCATATTTATAGCAATATTAAATCTCCCAATAATTATATAAATGAATATTTATTTTGGATCAAAATAAAAAAAAATGGTCACTTATCGAGAGTAGCACAACAAAATCTCGTGAGTTGCGATGTTGATGGCCTAATTAGTCTCATGATTGGTGGTCCAACTATAGATGAAGTTCTAAACCCTTTTATTACAATTGTATACTTGAACGGTAAAGACATCGCAACTTTGCACTCATAACTGGTCTGCTTCAATGTTTCACCACGAACATTAACATATCAATATATGTTATATCAAAAGAGAAGGGAAAAGAACTTTTATTTTTAAAATACATGCTCGAGTAGTTTATTTTTTAAATAATAGTTTAATCTGTATTCAATGTGTAAAACTTTAAATGGACATATTTCTACAGAGCAAGTTCTTTCCGCCCTTTCCTATTAAGTAGTAAGAACAACCTTTACGCTAAAACATACTCCGTACTCATCTAGTAAGATAAAAAAATTCAAAAAATATACACAAAATGGTTAAATGTATGTGCCATTTAGAAAGAAAAAAATTCATTCAAAGGACAAAAAGAAAAAGGGGATTTGACATGGCATGACAACTAGGTCCAACAATTGGCATAAAAAAACCAACTTTTTAGGATTTGGCATACAGTAGCCTAAAGTTATTCTCTCTCTTCAAATGGTTCAACCATCACCCTAAAAATAAGCCCCATCAAAATTATTTTTCTTAAAAATAGCAAAAAATATTTAAAATCCTCTATCTCTTCTCTCATAGCAATCATCATCCTAAAAATTAGGTTCCATTTCCTTCGGTAGTATCCAAAAAAACTTCCAAATATTTTTTAATTATTTTTCTAGTTTTTTATTTGTATATCCAAATATATATAACACATTAATAATTATATTATTGTATACCATAGTGTATAACATAATAATAATATGTATATCAAAAAAGTATATTAACATTTTATTTTTCTTTCTTTGTATAACACATTTCAGATTGAAAACTCAAATTCAAGACGACTCCATATGTGTATCCCCTATTGTATCCCGTGTATATCTCTATGTACATCAGTGATATCTCATGTATATCATGTGTATCTGTGTATATCCATGAAAATTTGTGTTATATATATGATATACAATGTGATATACACGGGCGTCCGTAAAAAAATTATGTTGTATACACGATATACAAAATGATATACACATACATCCTTAAAAACCTGTATGTGATATACACTAATGTACACGATATACAACAAGATATACACATGTCGAAGTTGGATTTTAGGTCTGATTTTTTTTACCTGAAACCTGTCTAAATCACTTCTAATCTTGCTCAAATTTCGTATATAGCCTCGTTTAGGTATTTTCAACCAATTTCAATCACACCCACTCGTTCAATCCAACCAAAAAAAAAGAAGAGAGAAGAAAAATAAAGTTGAAATGTATTTTTTCTCTCTTAGTTTTTGCTTCTTATTTTCTCTGATGTGAGATCAACCACTGATTTTTTTTTTTGTATAATTTGCAAGAATTTTTGCTAAACTATGAGAGCGAAGGAGAAGAGATAGAAGAAGAAATACAAGGGGAGAAAGGGGGAGGGAAGCCAAAATAAGAGTAGTTTTTTTTTAAAGAGAATATATAAGAGAGAAGTTTTTTTAGGATTTGAGTATATAATGTTAATTGTTTGGGGCTATCTTTGCCAAACCTAATATAAAGCTAAAAAATTGCCAATTCCTGTTATGTCTTGTTATACCATGCCAATTTTTCAACAGGTAGGCAACCTTCTTTTAAATTAAAATAAAATATCTGTATGATATATATTTTAACAGCTTTCCTTTCACTTTGCTGTCTATGAATCGTACCCGAAAGATACATCCACGGTTCAAATAATATATGGCGCAAAACTAACACACAGAGCTAAATATTCAATCCATGACAATGGTATTAAGTTCTCTTCGTGCTCATTTCGTCAAACACCTCTCCGGCACTATCACTAGCACTAGCATCATCACCATCCGCCGCATTCACAGGCTAATTCCGTTCATTCACTTTCCGAACTCCAATTCTGCGCTTTCAAAAGAAAGATACCAGCACCGGAAGCACATCCAGACTGTAGCCCAATTTTCCACCTTATCGTCTGTTTCTTCGGAGTCTACAGCTAGTGATTCATTCACTTCTCCTTACTTCTCTGTTCGTATTTGCTGTCAAAAGGATGTAGCTGTAAGTGAACATTTTTATTTTACTGTTTTCTCCTGCTCGTTCATGATTTGATGTGTTTTTGTTTGCACGTATAAGTGAAATTGTAATAACAATTAACAATTGATGAATTATTACTTATAAAATTCATCCTTTAACTGCTGTTTGCTTATGGTGATAACGGTTGAATTTGAGAAGGCTATTACTTTCACTTTTTCCTCTCTTTTTTTATTGGAAGTTCATACGAGAACGCTGAAGTTCGCGCATCAGCAGAGTGCCAAAAATTACTACATTCATTACTCCTTTATATGTAGTATAATATATATATTTTTTAATATATGTAGTTCGAGCTGAAGATTGTGGATGCATGTACATATTAAAATATTAGGAAAATATAGAGATTGGAAATGCCATGTAATCTGTTGTTGTATTACGAAATGTAGAGCTTTAGTGGTTCTTGCTTAATCCCTAATTGTATGTTGACATGTAATACACTGCAGAAATTGTGTAGAACATACATCAAATTGAACTTGAACTTCAATTTTTGTTTTATTATCAGGATATGCTCTCAGAGGCTCTTTTATGTTTCGGAGCCAGTTCAACTACCGTGGATGAAGAAGAAAGCAGTGAGAGAAGTGATGAGGTAGATTGTCCATTATTCTATTCATGAATGCTGCTTTTAAGTAAGACGCATCAAAGGCATTTTCTGCCCTGTGTCTGTTTTTGTATGCCAGCAATTTAATTCTCTTTACAACTCAATGCATGTATTGATTCTTTATTATGCATCTTGTTGGAGAACTAGTAGGCATAACTTGCTCCTCCTGGTAATTTCCATTTGAGGTGCTCAGAGCTGTTCAACTTTCTGTCACATGTGGTTGTATTTATCATCTTGAGTCTTAAGTTGGCATCAGTAGTTAATGTACAACGTTTGACTGGTTCCTATCATACTTTTCATTTGTATTTATTAACTTTGCTCTTTCTCCAACCTTGCAGATAATCATTACTTCCATCTTTTCTGTATGCAAAGATGTGAAAGACTGCATTTCACTTGCTGCTGATTCTATAGGGTTGCAAAAAATACCTTGTTTTGAAGTTGCTATGCATGACCATACTGATTGGATAAAAGCTACACAGGTCAACATTCTTTCCTTTGCTATAGACTATTGAGTAGTGTAGTAATATAACAAATATTTTATTGATCTTCCGCCTGCATATATATGCCTAGCAAAGTAGATGTACTGATAAGCATGGTTTTGACTTCAAATCTTCTTTTGTCCCTATGCTTAATAGGAACCTGCAAAATGTTGTTTATCATAGTGATCTATTACCAACTTTCAGGTCTTTATTGGCATGCGATCAAGTTGAGTCAATAGTCAATACTTGGAAATTGTCAAATGTGCTACTTGCCAAATCTTCTGTTTATACCGACGATATTATAAATGAACATGAAACTGGAAATTGTTTGTCTTGTTTAGCATGTCTATTTCTTGTTGAAAAAGCATGAACTGTTAATGAGTACTCTTTAAAAATAAAATTATACCATTTTGAGTGAGAATGCCTTGGCTAATATTGCCCAAGTTTCTTGTTTACTTATTTATAAAATTTCTGATGTCATTTGAAAATATGAACATCATGCATGGACTCATAAGTTAGAATGTAGATGATCTAATAAAGGTTCTCCTCTTAAAAGGTCCCTTTAGATCATCTTTGTCATTTAACCAATTGTTCAGTAACCTGGCAAATCTCCCTGATTTTTGCGAGTTTTAGTGAGTTACATTCATAACAAGGGAACTGAAAGGTTGATTCCTTACCAATCCATTGAAAGCTTGCATGCAATGAATTGATGTTACCATACTGGGCGGGTTCCTGTATCCTCTTAATTTCAACTGCGCATTTGGAAGTTAACAGAGCATTTGACATCCTTCTATTACCAGTTCATGGTGTATATTTGCTGCACAAGTTATCATCTTGGTGACTGGTGAACAAGCTGATTTAGTTTAGATCTCTCAACTATTGTCAATTAATTGCAGGAATCGTTTCATCCCGTGGAAGTTTCTGATGGACTCTGGGTGGTGCCTGAATGGACAACTCCTCCAGTATGATTATACCTCTCTCTCCCTTTGTTCTATTCACATGATACAACTGGTTCTACACTCACGCCTACAGTTCAAAGAATTGTGTTAATACTGAACCGAACTTCCAATATTATATTTTTGTGATGCTGAGGTCTTTCCTTTTTCTTTCTTGCTTAATTTTTTGGTCATGTTGTATGGAGTCGAGTGTTGGCCAGTCAAGAAATCTCATGCCCAGAAGATGAAAGTAGCAGAAATGAGGATGTTGAGATGGATGTGTGGGCATACCAGAAAAGACAAGATTATGAATGAATATATTAGGGACAAAGTGGGTGTGGCTCATGTGGAAGATAAGTTGCGGGAATCGAGGTTGAGATGATTCGGTCATGTGAAGAGGAGAGACTCTGGTTCCCCGGTTAGAAGGTGCGAGAGGTTGCCCATGGCGAGTCAGAGGAGGGGTAGAGGGAGGCCTACGAAGAACTGGGTGAGGTGATTAGGCAGGACATGACTCTGTTCCAGCTTACCGAGGACATGACCCTCGATAGAAATGTGTGGAGGTCGAGAATTAGGGTGGTGGGTTGATAGACAGTCTAGAGTTTCAACTTGTCTTACCATTAGTAGTAGTACTAGTCGGGTATTTTTCCATTCCTAGTCCCTTGTTTTTATATGGTGTGTCATTATTATCAGTAGGATTGGCACTATTATTGTAGTTTCGTATCCCTGGATCTCTGTTATTACTCGTTGTATTATTTGCTTCCATTGTCTTATTACCTTGTTGTTGCTATTGTTTCTCTATTGCTTCATTTTTACTGTTCTTGATCCGAGGGTCTTTCGGAAACAACTTCTCTACCTTCATAAGGTACGGGTAAGGTCTGCTTACACACTACCCTCCCCAGACTCCACTTGTGGGATTTCACTGAGTTTGTTGTTGTTGTTGTTGCTTAATTTTTTGGTGGTTGGTCATGAATCTGAGACTGCACATTGTCATCTTCCTGCATAAGCAATAATTAATACATGTCTAAAATATGTGTGTATATGCTTATGATCTGTAGGTATATGTATAAAGAGCGTGTGCTTAAATTGTAGGATCTTCAAGCAACAAATATAATTCTAAATCCTGGCTTGGCATTTGGAACTGGGGAGCACCCAACAACTAAGTTGTGTCTCCTCCTGCTGCGTGATTTGATAAGAGGGGGTGAACTCTTCTTGGACTATGGAACTGGTTCAGGTGTTCTAGCAATTGCAGCTCTTAAGGTACTTGGTTTTCTTTCAAAATATTGCCACTGAAGCTGCTAACAAAACTAATTCTTTATAAATCATAGCTCCACCTAAAGCTGATCCTTTACTCACTGAATCCAGGCCTTGCTACTCTGTCTGTCAAAGGAATTGATTATGCTAGCGTAATAACATGCTTAATGGAACAGAGTTTGACACGAAAGGCTCGATGAACCTCAAAATTCTGAAACTTGAATAGTAGGGATGTGGGTACAAACAAAATCCTTTGAATTATGGAGTGATAGGTTGGAATGGTGGTAGCTGGTGGCAAAAGACAATGTATTGAATTGACTTTGGGGTGGGGAAAGGTGACAAAGTAGATAAGGAATAATTTTCAACTCCTATTTCCTGCTTTTATTGCTGGATCATTTTTGGGATTTTAAGGGCTTGGTTCTTTCTTTCAATTCTGGGGAACTACTTCCCTTAGCCGTTTAATTGCATTTTTCACAAGTGGGTGGAAGTTGAGAAGATTGATTGAGGAAGTTTTGGTCTTGTATTAGATCTAAGTTGGAAGAGAAAAGATGTTCCCCTTTAGCTGATTCAATATAATAGTTGGAGAAACACAAACCTTGGTACTGTGAACTCTTGATTTTTTTTTGAAAATAAAATTCTGTAGAAGTATCCTGTGAAGTATAACTTGATAAGTTGACCTGAATCAAAATCAAATTAAAAGTTCGTACTTCCTAGGAGATTCCATCAAATTCATGGTCTATATCAACTTCGTCCACAACTTAAATCTGATTTCCTTCTGAAAATACCTCATGCATAGTGTTTTTTTTCCACGCCACTTAACATGGCTTCAATAAAAGGTTTCCAGATGCTATCAACTTAAGAATTGTTTGTATCATGGTGTTGCTAAATACTTCCATTGTCAAATATTTATGTGCAGTTTGGTGCAACCTTTTCAGTTGGTTTTGATATAGATCCCCAGGCAATCACATCTGCTCGATATAATGCTACTATAAACGACATTGGACATGAGAAGTTGCTCTTAAGTCTTGTTCCTGGCAAAGGAAGTCTTCCCTCTGCAGATTTTGATTCAAGTATGGACATCGGTGAAACTGCCCATAATGCAGAAGTTGTAAATAAGAGGGGAAAATATGACGTTGTTGTGGCAAACATACTATTGAATCCTCTGCTTGAGTTGGCAGATCAGATTGTGTCCTATGCAAAGCCTGGTGCAACTGTTGCTCTTTCAGGGATCATATCTGAGCAGGTATGGCCATTCTTTGTTATAATTACTCTACTATTTACCTAATTGAACTGTACCGAGCAAGGCTTGAGGGAACATTTGATCATTGATTTGCTGGTAACAACAAAGAATGAGACAATACTATAAAAATAACACCGCCATCTATTACCCATAAAAAATAGTACCCAAAATAATATCTGACGCAGTATATTGTATCCCTTTCTTTTTTTTTTTTTTTTTAGGGGGGGGGGGGGGGGGGGGGTTGGCAAACAATAAGGGAAAAGCATGTATATAAGACTACCCTACTATACAATCTTTTTGTTCTATTACTCTTTTTCCTATTTGTTGTTCCTCGATTTTCAATTGCATGATTCTCGGTGTAATGATCCTTAGTAAATTAGTACACATATCTAGATCCTAAATTTGATGTGTATGCTTAATGATTCTACATAATTTCCTTCCATTGTGTGTGGATAAAATTACAAATAGTTAAATGCTTAACAAAACTAATCTACAAGTATGTGAAAGAATTACGTTTCAGGTGCATAAAAATGAGAGTACAACTATGCATGTAGATGTTCTCTGGTATTTTATTCTTGTGAAACAAGAGAAAAGATTTAGATTTGCAAAGGATTTGGATTTTGTTAATTATTTTTCTAGAAAGGTACTAACATTTAATATTCATCAGCAGTTCAGCACCCAAAACAGGGTTGGTATCTAAAATTTACAAGTACAATACCACTGTAAATCTTTCAGAGAGTCGAACAAAGTCTAGTAGTGATTCTGCATCACCTACCAACGGTACTTTACACCAAAAATGAAAAAGAGAAATGCATGAACTCTTGATTTCTATGTTGAACTAATCTTGCCTTCAAAATACAAAAGAATTAGATTTACCTAGTGCAATATTTGCATTATTGGTTTTTCCAAGTGATAGTGCTAATCTTCTGTAGATTCCTCGGATCCTAGAAAGGTATTCACCATACCTGGAGAACCTCACAGTTTCAAAGATGGATGACTGGGCTTGCATAAGTGGCTTAAAGAAATGACCGAGTAGCAGCAGAAGGGAAAACAGAAGTTGATTTTTCTAACGTTGAGGAACTTTGAGAAATTCTGATGTATTGAGGGACTGAACTTTGCATGTCATTAACTTTTCGAGAGCAATGCATGGCCAGTTAAATGTATTATTCATCTGGATAAGTCTTGTTAAAAGTATAGAAACACCTGCTTCACTAACCACGAGAGAATTCATACTAAAAGAGGACTACCTCAAGATCCTAATTTTGTCGGCTATTTAGTCTCTATATTGCTTTTTGTAAAAGATAATGTTTAGAAGCTCTGCTGTTTCTTTAGAAAATTACAAGCTAGAATACATCTGACGCATTCTCATATTTAAGTTGTGAGATCGTAATGCTCATAACTTTTCTCTAGACCTTGCTGCTATCAAAGTTCCATCTACAAATTGTACAATCCCGGTGGTTTTGAAAAGAAAGGACCAATAATCACTTTCTTCATTTCAAACAAAGGCGAACGAAAATTTCCATTCCGTGACTATTAACTGTTGCGACTTTAATTAGCTGCGAAAAAGATAACAAGGTAACGACATCTATCAACTTTTTTCATTTATTTTACTTGCTACCTCACATAAGAAATTCTGGTTATTGCGTTGCTGCTGTTATATGTTAGGTTTCCTTTGCTGCTACTGATACATTGTCTCTTTCTTTCTTGAGCCGAGGGTCTACCGAAAACAGCCTCTCTACTCCTCCGGAGTAGGGGTAAGGTCTGCGTACACACTACCCTCCCCAGACCCCACATGTGGGATCTCACTGGGTTGTTGTTGTTGTTGCTACCTCACATAAGAATGACAAAGTTAGCTATGGAGCAAGTCTACTACTTCAGAAAGGAAGCGTACGACTACTAGCTGCTTGATCTCATGTCTATGCTTGTCAACGGGGCATGAAATGAAACCCAAAAAACCAATAAAAAGAAATCAATTTAAAACAAACCAAACAACTAATATTCTTCATGATAATAATACATATGTTAGCTGTTTCTCGAATTGCAAAAATAAAGCAGCTTGTTCGACAAAAAGAGTCCCAAAAAACCACTTCCAGTCCATAACAAAATAATACACCACTTGAGAGCTGAGACGTTTCAGTCAATCAAATATTCCAATCAATCTTTACCAGTGTGTCGCTGGAACCTTGAGTTAACCAAAGTTTGGACTGGATCTGCTAAACAATACAATTCAATACACATTTAGCAGACTGCGGCCAAGGGCAAAATAACCTCTCTGAAATCTGTTTACAATGGAAAGGGATCAACTTCATTGAAAAAATAACACAAAAGGAAGTACGAGAGCTTCAATGTGACATGCTTAAATTTTATTCTTTTTTCTGTTCAAGACAGACTTAACTAAAGATATCCTTGTCCATCAGCTTTTTTCAGTTTTCAATAATCTTTGATACACAAGCATTCACAGTGTAGTCATCCCAGGAACTTAGAAATTCATCCAACTAGCACCTAAGTCCTGACTCAGTACATTGCAGCAAGCCAATTTGATTAAGAATCTAAAAAAGGACCCAAATGGCATGAAAATTGTACCTCCTCACATCACCGCTTGAGTTGCCTCCTGGCTAGAGCAGGAGCCCTCTTAGGGATGTAAACCTTGTAGTTTACCTGGCCAACATACAGTCATACACCATGTGAAGATGAGATCAAACAAATTAGAATTGGAACATATTGGAAATGTCTCCCACGGGTATTTGAATGGTAACAATACTCAAGCTATGTAAAGACATTAACTATTAAACTTCCCATCATCAGTCCATCTACACTTGAGAGCTGCTTTTTTATGTGATAAAGAAGGCTTCAAGCGACTCTCCTAGACACTCTACTAGCAAGGGAAAAAAACAACAACAAAAAACCCAGTGTAGTCCCACAAGTGCGGTCTGGGTAGGGTAGAGTGTACGCAGACCTTACACCTGCCTTTAAAAAGGCAGAGAGGTTGTTACCGAAAGACCCTCGTCTCAGGGATGAAAAAGGGACGGGGCAATAACAAGCAAACCAATTTGACAACCAAAGCGAAAATAGAAAACTAACACTAAGTAATGCAAACAGAAAATCGAAACAAGGCAGCCCGTAAAAAAAAAAAAAAAAAAAAAAAAAAAAAAAAAAGTCCCAAAAAAGGAGGCTTTGCATGCATATTTGTTTCTTCCCTTTATAAAAGAATGTAAAAGTAAGTTAATCAGAAATTAGCCAAGGGAGTGCCACCCGGGTACAAAATAGTTAACCAAAAACCCGAATACACAAAGCACGTATAGTACCAGATATGTTTAGCAGAGGTTAGAGAAACATGAAACCATATTCAAGTCTTATCTCTAGTAATGAATTCCCAACAGGGACTACCCACAAGAAAGGATCAATCATTATGTATTAGAAAGAATAGGTCTGGAAGAGAGAACAAAGTTGTTTCTTTGAAAGCTTAACCAAATACTAAGCCTGTTTGCTTAGGATTATTTTACCTGGTTAAATTAGTTTTTCGGTTTAATCAGTTTGCTCCCCACTATAGTGTTTGGCTATAACTAAAAGAAATCTATAGTTAGAGCTAATTACTAACAAATAAACTAATAATTTCTATCAATTCTCTAATAGTTATTCATCTAAAATAATCGGAAACAATTTAAAGAATCTAAACTGAACAGGGTGAGATTTATTTACTTGTAGGATTATTTATCAACCCCGGCGTTGGAAAATCCCAGCCTGACATGCATAATAATGGAATTCAATTATAATACCTGTACCATTTCACCACCCCTCATTACAGACATGGTCTTTTGTTCGAACTGAGAGGCATCCTTGGTTCCATCTGGCTGGTGTTTTGAAGTAAGTCCTTCAGATGTGGATCTGACACTAGAAGTGGTTTCTACATTAGGACGGATACTGGTATTAACAGCTCCGATGCCTAAGTTATCGCTGGTCCCGGTGCTAAGAACTCCAGGTCTCAAAGGATCTGGTGTTTTATTTATGTTTCTCTTGGAAGCCAATGAATCTTCCCTTTTATATGTCTGTACTGTGGTACTACATGATGGTTTACAAGGTTCCGGTTCATCGATATGAACTGGTGCAGCAGTATGGTCCTCCTTTTCTGGATTCTGTGAGAGCACTGATCTATCAGCAGGTTGCGTAATACTCTCCTTAATGTATCCAGTTCCTTTTCCGTTGTTCTCTTCGACTGGAGTATTTATCTCAATCTTTGTGGAATGAGGAAACTCCTCATTAGTTACAAGCTTGCTTCTACATCCTATAACTTGATTTAAAGCCAATCCCTCTTTATTTTCCTGCTCCAGGTACTTGTACGGTAGAACCTCAGTCTTTGAAGGGGATAACCGATTAACATCACCGTCATTCTTCTTTTCCTTAGCACCAGATTTCAAATTTTTTTGAAGCTCTTTACGGAACTTCTGCAAGTTCTCCAATGCCTTTTTCCTTAAGAGAGTCTCAAGATCCTCGAAACCTGAATTAGCATTACTATCAGAAAACCCACCCTCACCTCCATTATTGTGACTTACTTCCTTGGCTTTATTCGGATGAGGATCTATACCACCACCAACTTTTGTGGGGCCAATAGTTTCACTATTGGGAGGAACTGCATCAGCTATTATCAAATTTTCAACCTGCATTGTTTGATTAGACGAGAAACAAGAACAAGAAGCTAATTTCCTTTTACTTTCCAGGTCATTATTGCCATGGTTTCTGCAGGAAGGGCAATCATGATGCTTATTCAAACTCTCTTCCTTAAGCGTATCTGTTCCCTGTTCGTCTCCCTCTTTCTCGTATGTTTTTTCTGGAACAGTAATAACAGATCTTAAGCGCTTAGGATTATTCTCTTCCACATATCCCTTCCCACTGTGAGTAGTATTACAAGAACATGATTGATGATTACATGAAGAACAACTTGGCCCCCTACTTTCACTCCTCTTTTCAATGCTTGGCTCATTACAAATTCTCTTTTCTTTCATCCCTTTTCTTGACTTAATCCTGGGACTCTTCTGATCAATATCCTTACTACCACTAGTACAATCACTTCCTCTGGAGCTAATACTATTTTCACATCGGCAACTAGAACAACTTCTTGAGTCACTGCTTTTGGAGCTAATACTAGCATGTCTCCTTCGCTTCTTCTTCTGCACTTTCCTCCCGTAATCAAGACTCTTTCTATTTGACCTTTTTCTTTTCTTTACAAGGGGTGAACTCTCATTGACATCTCGGCTTGAGGATCTTCTCCGAGTTCTTTTCTTCACGTGTTTCACATCACGTGAGTGCCTACGACTTTTCCTACTATAATCATCCTCTGAACTAGAGGACAGAGACTGTGGACTGCTAGAATAATCGGAGGAAGCAGAAGATGACGTGTCATCCTCAGAACCGGAAAACTTCTTGGATTTGTTTCTTCTGCTTTTTCTCTTCCGGATCTAACCACACAACACATGAAGATGTATAATAAAGGATAATAAATTGGGGATGCCAGCGACAAGACGAGAAAATATTGATATGAAAACAGCACATATTAATTAGCATAACATTGTCCTAGGGAAGCATGCCTATTACTATAATTAAAGAGATAATTGCAATTCCTCATTAAAGTAACTATGATATTTTAGTTATTAAATTTTTTCAATAAAAAGGTGACAACGTCCGCTGGCTAGTAAGTCTTTCATAATTCTTTCTTCCGTGTGTCAGTTTAAGGAATTACAAATTGAAATTTGAAACACCAAAAAAGATATTTGAACAAGAGCTTAGATATCTGTTTTACCATGGTTACTATGACGCCTTCTTAGATATGAGTATTAAAAAGTGCAGGTAAATATTTTTCTAATGAAGAGTACTAATCGGATTAGATAAGCTAGTTCTCTAGATTTATTCCACTATAGTCACCAACTATGGCAATTTAGAATGACTATGCAATGTGACTTTACACTCCCGCATGAACTATATCACGTGAATCCTCACTAAACTACAGATTTGTTTATAAATGTAGTTTAACATAGGTAACATATTTGCATCAACATAATCCATATAGCACTTATTTTCTCAATTTAGCCATATTAATACATATAGCTATTGTACCCAAAAACAAAACAGCCCTTTAATTACTTTTTGACCCTTATTCATTGGAAAGCAGTATTATATCTATTTTTAGCAAAAAGAAAAGCCTTTTATTTCCAGTTTACCTAAAAAAAAACAGTTTTTCCATCGCTTGACGTGATACACTCATGAAAAGACCCAAAAGTTAGTATTCATT